TTATTGCAGTGTAGCCTACTAACAATAAGAACAGAAACTAAAACAGTAGCTCCAAGCAAGCTGTCTCCTAACACCAAATGAGATAGACTTCAGGTACAAGAATTATGGTAAAAGCCATTCCAGTCATGGAAGGGCCAAGAAAGAGGTCAAAAAGAATCTGCTCCATGTAGCTAAGATTTACTGGGGACAGGAAATTGCCAAAGAAGCACCTCATCTACCGTAATGCATGTGTGAGATTAATGGGAAGATTGGATGCCTCACAGTGTGATGGTAAGGAAGCAACCATGAAAAAAAACTCTCTCTGGACTTTCAAGGCCGGATGTCTAGAGCTCAAGACATAGGAACAAAGTGAAGGCCCCCAACAATGCTCTCCAAGCAATTAGGTTCAAAATATCCCAACCAATTGAAGTATCATCTGGCAAGATATTGGGTGACTGCTAAATGAACCAAAGAATCAAGTTAAGCAGACCAATTTATGATGAAAACACAATGGGCATGAATCATTTAGTGAAGAGGCCACAACATCACATCTCCCAGTAATAACTGAGGCCATTCCAGTTATTCTCATATCAAATAAAAGTTATAGTTGTTCTTAATGAGGACCCTGAACCATCGAGAAATTGGCAGATTCATCATGATTAGTGAAATAAGCCAGTCTTCAGAAGAACAAATATTGTATGATATTGTATCTGTGGTGTCCAAAGCAATCAAACTCAAACTCAAGGAGTCAAACTCATAGAAACAGAAAATGGAATGGTGGTTGCCAAGAACTGTTGGGGAAAGAGAAATGGGGAATTGTCCATTGTGAATAAAGTTTTAGTTATGCAAGGTGAATACGTTCTAGAGATCTTTAGTACAACATTGTGCCAATAGTTAGCAAAACAATACTGTGTTTTTAAGAATTTTAGGGTAGATCTTGTGCTTAAAATAAAGGAACACAGGAAACTACAGACGTGGTGGAAGCTGGATACAGTGGTGCACACCTGTAATTCCAGCTATTCTGGAGACTGAGGCAGGAGGATCCCAAATTCAGGTCAGTCTGGGCAACTTAACAATACCCTGACTCAAAATAAAAATTTAGAAGTGCTGGGGATGTAGTTTAGTGACAGAGTGTTCCTTGGTTTAATTGCCAATTACACACACACACACACACACACACACACACACAGAGTGGTGAATATGTTTATCACCTTTGTCTATGGCCATACCACACTGAATGCACCTAATCTCTTCTGATGTTATGTTTATCACCTTTGTTGGGGTGATACCGTCATAAATGTATATACATATCCAGACTCATCAGATTGCAAACATTAAATGTGCGGGTTCCTCTATATCAGTTGTATCTCAGTAAAACTGCTTTCAAAAAAGAAATTTGTGTCCCATATTTTCTATCAAGAAAGCAAGTCTAGAAAAGGTCTCCCAAAGTTTGCAAGGTTTCTCCAGCATTGTGCAAGATAAAGAGTACCACAGATTTTGGAACGCCAATAATTTGTCTCAGGGAACCAAGAGAATAAAAAACAGCAACTCATTGACTGTGTCAGTTGATGAATGTGGGCCTTTTTTTGCTGTTGTTCACTGAGCAATGGGAAGATTGGAATCACATCGTAATTCCACAAACATCTCCTCTGTCTTCGTGTCCTGCGTCTGTGCCTGGCCTCACCATCATCCTGACCATCAAGGGGAACCTCAACTCCTCCTTCCCTCTTATACCTCCAATTCAGGTCCCATTCTCCACACATCTTCCTACCTCTACTTTCTTTCCTTCCAGTTCATCCTCCATCTGACAATTATCAAAATACACATTTTATTAATATATTCATTCATTTATTCAGCAAATACCTACTGATTGCTCCTTGTGTGCCAAACACTAACCAGGGGTGACATTCTAAGCAGAGAAAAGCAACTCAACAAGATCTGATCACCTCACATTTCTGTTCAAAATTCATTTCCTATCTCTGGAAAGATAAAATGAAAAGCCTTTCATTTTGGGGTACCAAACCCTTCAAAATCTAGTTCCAGAAAAGTTCCCCAATCTGGGCTCCTAGTACCATTACTCTGCCACCTTTACACACATAAACACCTAGACACACATGCCTCTCTAACACATGTACACATGCACACATTCACAAGCATGCACACAACACACATACAAATGTGCACATATATGCATGTACACACACCTGTGCATACTTGCCCATGTTATGGCATGTGTGTGCACATATGCTCCATGCACATACATAAATGAGCATTTATAGCCATACATGTGTACACATGCATGCACACATATAAATGTGTGCATGTACAGATGCATATGTATACAAACACACACATACACACCCAACACTCTGAACACTCACCATTCCCTATCGCACCAAGATCTTGTGTCTTTACTCCTTGACACAGACTGTTGCTTATATCCTGGATTCATTTTGCACTCCTTACTTCTAAGGTGCTCCATGTGCTCCAAAACCCAGACCATGGTCCAGCCACCCAGAGAAACATTCCCTGACCCTTTCAGGAAGGAAATGTGTCCTAAGCTCTCAGAAGAGAGTAAAAACGATGCTATTATAAAAAGCATTTATCACATCTATGTTAAGAAAATCATCAAGGATCAAAGGATGTAAAAAGTCTCCAGTAAATGGATCAAGTTTAAATGCATTTAAAATCTGAAAAACTGAAGCTTATATTTGGAGATGTCCTCCTCACCAGCACCCCACTTATATTTATAGGACTCTCTGCCATGAATTCTTCATAAGATCACTACCAAAGGATGTGTCCTCCTCCCTCCTGGCCCCACAACGTTATGTTCCCTACAGGCCACTCAAAGGAGTACTGAGTGACTGCTTTTTTATTATTTCCCTCCAGTAATGCACAAGTTTCTGGGACTGGAGGCAAGTATTTGACCTTCTTATTCCCACTGCCATTCTCAGAACATTTTCTTTCTCTCCTCCTCCTTTGAAGCTCATGCCATTGAACTGCACAAACATCTTTACCGACTACCTGCTGGCAGCTCCTGACCCCTGGCCACCACTCCACACTCACTGACAACTTTAGTTCATGGCACACTGGTTTCCTTTACACCATTTACACCTGTCAGCCGTGGCTTCTTCATCCATGCACACCTCTAGTCTTAACCTCCCTTGACCTGCTCACCACCTGAGTCACTAAACATGGCAGGAGACAAACATCACTGTGCTGATGTTCTCACGTGAAATGTTGATCGCTGGTGATTCTACACTGTGAACCATGTGCTGGGCACTTTCTAAGCCTCTTATCTCTATTATCCAATTTAACCCCCACAAAATTCAAGTGCATTAGGTACTATTTTATTCCCATTTCACAGGCAAGGAAACTAGATAGCCTATGTAGGACATTAAATGGTCTTTTCAACTACCGAGTGACAGAAATCAGGACTTACACTCAGGGGGTCTAAGTGCAAAATCCTTTTCTCTATTATTCTATGCTTTTGCTCATCTACCTTAAAGCCACCCAACATGGCTGGTCCATCCTAATAGTTCCCCTTTCCTACTCTTTTCAATTCCCCATTCTCTAAGCAACTATTTCAAACCTCCTCTCACCTGCTTCTCCCTTTTGCTCCCAATTAATGTTCTTGTCCATCCTCCTTTTTAAGGGAAAACCAACATCAAGACCTCCCTCATCTCCCTTCCTATAAGTTCCTTCCTAGAAGTCAGGATTCAGCCTCAGTGTCACCTTCTCCGTGAGGCCTTTCCTGACTACCTAATGTAGCAACCAGCCACCATCCCTCTTCTGTTTTAGTTCTCTGCATAATACTATCCCTGCCCAACATTTCTTATGACTTATTCATTAGTTTATATTCTTCTAAACAACCAGAAGGTAAGTGTGAGAGCAGGCCTCTCATCCATTATTTTCACTGTTCTGTTTCCAGGCACTGGGATAAAATTTACGAGATAAGATGTCATTGCAATTGCCACAGGAAACTATCCCTGGAATCTCCAAGAATCGTGAGAAATCCAACTATCCAGCAGCTCCACACTTGTATAGGACCCAGTGAAAACCAGCGACAGCTAACTTGACAATAGCCAAACAGAAAAAGGGAGCACATTATCCTAAAAATATAATGAACAAATGTGGCAAATGAAAACGCCTGGGTTCAGATCTTAGCACTGCTCCTTACTGCTTCAGAGTGAACAAATCACCTGCACTTGTGCTCTCTCTCTCTCTCTCTCTCTCTCTGAGCCTTATTTTTGCACATCTGTAAAATGGGAATGACAACACCTCCTTGGCAGGATTATTGTGAAAACTGAATTAGATGCCACCTGTGAAGCACGGGGCGCATCACAGTAAACAGCAACAATTCCAGAGCTTGGAGACACGACGTTAATTTCACCCTCCAGAAGTCAGGTTTCATTGAAAGGTAAAATGAAGCCCTATCCAATATGGGAAAGTCCTCAGGGAGACTAAATGAACCAAATTCTAATTCCATCTCTACTCCACTTCTCTCCAAACGTCCATTATGTCCAATGGTCCAATATGTCTTGCAGCCCTTCTCATCACTACTACCAAATGAATCACACGGGGTATGCTCTATGCTATCATGGATATAATGGCCTTTCCACATAGTCTGTGTCTTCTTCCCTTGTGATCCTAATCAATTTACACCCAAGGCCGGAACACTATACTCTTCTTCTATCTGCTTCCAGGACCAGTCCAGTGATCCTTATTCTAGGAGGCCTCTCCAAGTGGAACTTAGGTTCTGACTGTAGTCAGTCCTCACTGTGAACAAATATGGGCCCCAAAGACCCTCCAAGTGGAACTATCCACATCCTACTCTGTATTCCCAAGTATCTGTTCTCTACCTCGCCTGGCAGGGTTATTTATTTTATATATCTTTCTCTTTCCTTAAGTTATTTCTTAAGGCTCAGGAGTGAGATCTTTAAGTTCCAGTGGGTCTTTGGCCCATATTTGTCCATAGTAAGGACTGACTACAGTCAGAACCTAAGACCAGGCTTGCTTACCTTGTTCTGAACTCTCTTCCTCACTTCTCCCAGATGGTAGCTCTTTCAAGTGTCTGGTGCAGCTCATTTTACTAGGTTTCTGAGAAACATACAATGAGGAGGGTAAACTGGCAGAAATGGAATGGAATGGAACACTAAGATGAAGAGTTAGGGGGACAAAGGACAGCTGAATATATAGAGAATCGTGTCCTACAATTAAAAGTGAAAAATAACAATGGCCCTTTTTTCCTACAGGTCAATAAAAAGGGATAAATAAATTGGGGATAAATCTTTAGTTATTAGTTTCACATGAATCTTTCTAAGCGCAAATATACATAAATAATATACAACAGAACATAACTGCTAGCCACATAGAAAATATGTGTGGGTAACATGCCAGGAAATTTTTAAGTTCTAACAAAAGGAGTTTTTGTTGAGTCAGAAATCCAATGAAACAATAAAGGTTTTAATGTATCTCCTTGGCATGGTGGAAGGATGCATCAAATACTTCTAAAATCCAGGAAAAGGCCCTTTATGGGGTGTGTTGTATGGATGTCCTTTCTCCAGTATATGCTTAGTCTTTGAGAGCCAGAGCAGCAGGAAAACCAGATCTCTCCTCACTAATATATATATATATACACACACGTGTGTGTGTGTGTGTGTAATACATATGTGTATAAATAATTGTATATGGACTTTAATAAAAGTTATCCAAAGTTCCCCAAATAGTGAAGTGCCTATTAAACACTCATTTTAAATAAAGCACAGCATAAAATTATGAGCACACATTCAGGACAAGGACTTAGCTATTTGACCCAGAATAAGATACTTACACTTCATAAGCTCCAGATTCTTACCTATAAAACAGAGGCAGTAAGAGGAACTGTCCTTGGATTGTCACGAAGATTTAATAAGGTAATTCACATAAGGCATTGAGCACAGGGCTGAGGCACAAGGTAAGAGCCTCTTGGTTGGGCAGTTAACTGCATCATTAATATGCAGGATGGTGATGTCTTCCCTTCCACGATGCTAAAACAATGAGGTCCAATGATCAGGCCTGAGAAATTAGGAACAAAAACTCATCTCACCAAAAATGAGCCACTAAGTTGAAAATCAGCAAAGAGACTAGATCAATGGGTAATTAGAAGACATGCTTTGGGGACCCTTCAACATAGCTGCTGCCATACTGCCATCCCCACATCACACATTCTATCCCATCCACACTACTTTTTAAGTTCCAAGATGTTGGGCTGGGGATGTGGCTCAAGCGGTAGCTTGCTCGCCTGGCATGCGTGTGGCCCGGGTTCGATCCTCAGCACCACATA